CACAACCCAAACTCCTTGCTCAGGAACTCTCCCCCTCGATCGGTGCGGATTGACTTGACTAGACGGTCTTGTTGCCGCTCCACCATCGGGAACCAATCCGTCTTCAACGTTTCAGCCACGTCGCTCTTCTTGGCCAGCACGTACACCCAAGTCATGCGGGTGTAGACGTCGACAATGGTGAGAAAATACTCAGCTCCAGCAGCTCCAAGCTTCAGGGGGCCCACCACGTCCATCACCACCTCATCAAGCGGTGCTTTTGCCGTTGCCTCCGAACTAGGGAGCGGAAACCGGGTGAACTTGGCTTGAATGCACGTCGGGCAGCCAAGCACCTCATCGGGCTTCCCCTTCACACGTATGCCAGCAACCATCTCATTCTTCACTAGCTGCTGCAAGATGGGCAGGGCCACATGCCCCATGCGCCGATGCAAGGTGAGCCAATCACACTCCCCCGTAGCCGAAGTTGGATTGGAGAATGCCGCGCTCGCAATAGCGCCCCACATACTCTCTCCGTAGTCCTCCTCCGCTGCTGTCTCTGGGTTCTCCTCACCCTTTTGCTGCTCCTTGGTTGCTGCACCACTCTCCTTAGGTTCACTGAACTTGCTGGTCCCTCCAGGTTTGCTCTTCTTGAGCTCATTCTCCTTAGCGCGACCGTTCGCGCCATCGTCGCTACCGACCGCTCCATCCTTGGTGCTGATGCTTGCTGCCACTTGCCTCTCCTTAGGCATAGGGACCACTGGGATCTGCCACATCTCGTTGTAGACATCCCTGTCCTCATGAAGGTCCCAAAGAATTCGATCGCCAAGCCTTGCGGTGTAGGTCTTGGCTCCCTTCGAGTTCGTGTCCATGCCGGCCTTTGCCAACCGCCGCACGGAAATCAGGTTTGCAGCAAGGCTGGGCACCCAAAGCACATTCTTGAGGCCCACCATCTTCCCATCAGCACCCTTGAACATGGCCTTGCCCATGCCTTTCACCTCTGCTCGCTGCCCCAAAGCCGATGTGACATGCTTCACCGGTGACGGCTCGAGTTCGGTGAGCAAGTCCGGGCGAGGTGTCATGCTATAGGTAGCGCCACTATCAATCACCCAATAGTCCAGGGGGTGTAGGGTCACCTTCCCCACAGCTGCTGGCTCGTCAAAGCCTTCATCCTTCTCTGGACCAGCCGGTACTTGCGTCGACACGAAGTAGAATAGACCCGGGTATCGATCGTCGCTCGGGTCCTTGTCGTTGTCTCCGCTCTTCATGTTTGCAGCTCCGCCACCGCGACCGCCACGACCTCCACGGCCTCGTCCTCTCCCTCCTCCTGCTCCTCTACCCTCTTGGCCTTAAGCAGGGGTCCAACCATCAGGGAGTTTGTAGCAGTCGTGCCACATGTGTCCGCTCTTGTGGCAATAGTGACACTCGCCGTCGAATCGGCCGCGACAAGAGTCCGTAGCTCTTGTCGTCGCTGCCGTAACCGCCACTCCTGCGGCCTCCGCCGAAGTTGCTGCCACCAAATCTTCCTCCCCCTCGTCCTCTGCCTCTTCCTCGACCATATCCACGGCCGATGCTCGCTGCCCCAGCGCCATCCGCACTCGCCAACTCACGGCGGCGGAAATCCTCTTGAAGGATAGCTCGCTTCACGTCTTCAAGCGAGAGGCGGGGCAAGTCGCGATTAAGGTTGATGATGAGCGAGGACCATGACTCTGGGAGTAAGGCCAGCAACTTGGTCTTCTTTTGGAGCTCACTGTAGTTCAAATCAGCTCCCTCAAGCCGCGTCAACAAGTCGAAGAATTTCTGCACCCCTTCTTCAACCGCTTCGTCTTCTTCAATTCGTAGTGCCGCCATTTGCCGTTCCAACACCACCGCTACCGCCGCTGTTGCAGGAGCATGTACACCCTTGAGAGCAGCCCATGCCTTTGGTCCTTTCTCTGGTTCACGCTGGAATGGCTTGATGTGACGGATCTGACTGCTCCCCAACGCTTGCCCAAGTAAGAGATAGCCTTGTGCGCTCTTCCGCACCCACGGGCTCTTCTCCGGGTCGTTCTCGGGGCGCTTCTCCGTTCCTTCCATCACCTCCAGCAGGTCATAGTGGTCAAAGATGTTCTCCATCTTGAAGGACCATTCAGCAAAGTTGTCACCGTTGAACTTGTCAAGCCCAAACACCCTAGGCTCATCCCTAGGTGGGCCAAGACTTGGTTGCATGGGCGCCATGGCTGAATCACGGGGTTGGCCTTGAGCTTGAGCTTCTCCACTGCCACCAGCACCTCTGCCACCCCTTTCCTCAGGTCCAGACATTGTCGAAACTGCTCCAAGGGGCTCTGATACCACTTGTTATAGTCACAATAGGCTTGAATGTGCCTAAAACGAAAGATAGAGAGCACAGACGGATTTCTGCACAGCGGCTTCAAACGTTGATAGCGTTCTGCTCACAGCTGCAAATGACTTGATTCAAACTGGATCTGGAGCGTTTTTACGTCGTCTACAATTAGCAATTTAGATTGCACGATTTGATAAAGAATTGACGACACAGCGTCGGTTTGAACGAACGGTACTATGGCAGCCACTATAGTCTTAGAACACAAGATAGGAAGAGTTACGAGTTGGGAATGACTCCCAGCTCCTACAAACCCCAAGAGCCGAGGTACAGTGATGTGGAACAGTGCCACACTGTCCCCAACCACGAAGGGTCTCGAAACTACCCTTCACTAGGGCCTACACCAAGTGAAATGTTACACTACACAAAGTAATGTAACTATCTTCAATATCTTGAGGTGTACCCTTTTGGCGAGCTTCGAAATCACTTGAGGCTTGACACCAAGGCTCGGGCTCTTCATCACAAACTCATCCTTGAGTTCTTGATGGGTCTGCTGCACACACCTGCGACACGCCGAACGTTCGACACAGGACAAAATAGAAACCGCGCACGACAAAATAGAAACCGCGCGCGAGACACAAACGACCGCGTAACACGCGTCTAGCGATAACTCGCTATTGACTCGACACACACACTCGACATCATGACTCAACATTCACACACAATTATAAGCATGAAATATATGTTATCACATGCCCTCATACCATTCCATACACACACACATTCACGCACACGGACAACAAGCCGAGTGCAAACCGTAGAGTTGCACCAACACGCGTGACCCAAAGGTGACCTACAGGTCAATTTAGGGTTAGGTTGGGGTTAGAAGATTTTGCAGATGACGGACCCGGGCCGGGCCCAGCCCGTTTTTTTTGCTCAACCCTAAGCGTATATACGCCAGACTTCTCAAAACGCATCTGCCAACGTAGTCCGAGCTTCCTGCTGAATCAACAGCTATTCACTAATCTGGAGTTTTGACACATGCTTGCATGCCTGCCTTTCGTTTGCTGCTATCTTGTCAGAATCATGGCGTTTACCAACCTGACTGGCAGCATTCCTCAGTCGTTCAGCAGCCTCGCAAATCTTCGTCACTTGTGAGTGCCATCTTTTCTTCTGCCTAGTCTCAGATTATATCTCCTTTTTACAATGTGTGCCGTGAGATGTGTGCTCGTACAATGTGCTCTTACTACAATGTGCTCTCCAGCCGTCCCCTATTCATGACCATAATAGGTGCCTTCCAGCCAGCACTTCCCCGCGTAACTAATGTTGAGATTAACTGAATCACCATGAAAGAGAATATATTTGTGCGTTTAACATGAGTATGCTGCCACGTTAGCGACCGTGGGTGTTTGTGCTGCTGTGATACTGGGCTGCCCTTGAAGAGCGGAGCCAACGAGCGGAGCTGCCGGCTGGGTCACGTCATGTGCTCTCGACTAATCCGGATTCTCCACGCATGTATGCCCTTGATTGTCTTGTCAGAGACCTGTTTTCCAACCAGCTCACTGGATTTCCCGAGTCCATCACCAAGCTTGCAAAGCTTAATCACTTGTGAGTGCCATGCTATTTGGGGGTTTGATTCAGATTGAGGTTCTTCTAGATTTGCAGGTGCTGCCATGATCTGTTCTGTGTGCTTTTAAATTGTTGGATGAGGCACCCGCTCTTACCTAATCCGTATTCTCCACACATGCATGGATGCCTGCTTGCTGTCTGTTTAGCGACCTGGGGAAGAACAGGTTAACTAGCACAGTTCCTGAGGCCATCACCAACCTCGCACTCCTCACTACCTTGTGAGTACCTTGTGCTGTTGCTCTATCATGCAATACCAAAAGAGGTTCCTGCCAGCTCGCACCTCCTCCCGTGCACAGGCCTGAGTTGCATTCGGATAAGCTCTCCCCTCCTTGAATCGGGCTTGCTCAAAATGAACGGAGCTGGACATCTGGCTGGATGCGAGCCTGTGCGCCTCGTGATCACCTGAGCGGGTTCGTCCCTTCCCGGCTGTTTGGCCGGGTGGTCGGGTCACAAGCCAGAACAAGCTGACCTGGGTGTAACGGGTCGACACATTCAGCTTGGGTCGGGTCAACACGCTTGGCTCGGGTCGGGTCGACCCGAGTCCCGAAATAGGGACCCGTCGCGGGACGGGTCGACCGACCCGACGTAACCCGTCAGCTGCACGAATCGTCTGCTAGGATGGCATGGCTGTTTTGCGCAGATCGGCGGACGATATACGCCGGTGTGCACGGGGAGCTGAACGATAGAGACCGGCAGTTATCAAACAAGCTGACGAAAAGCTGATGCCAAGAGGCAAGCTTCCAGCTGGGCCGCCTGCTCTGGACTAATCCCAATTCCAAAACACATGCATGCATGCCTTGTCCTTTCAGCGATGTGGGGGCCAACATGTTTACTGGCACCATTCCCGAGGCCCTTACCAGCCTCGCAAATTTCCGTGTATTGTGAGTACCTGCCATGCTTTCATGGACTTTGTCTCAGTGTGAAGCTCTTCATGCCTTGAGGTCTGCAGGTGCTCCCATGAGCCGTGTGGTCTTGGAATGTGCTCTTCTCAGAACGAACGCAGCTGGGCCTTTGAGAAACAGCCGTGCCTGGTTCGCCGGGGCGACGTGTGACGAGCTGAGCGGGCTTGCCCCTTCACATGGCAGTTTGGCGTGGTCGGGCCGGTTTGGAATGTCGATGGGTTCCGGGCCGCTCATTGCCCGGCTCTTGCGGCTTGTCAAGCTGACTCGACATGAGCGAGGAGGGGACGAGGTGAATGTTGGAGACTGAAGGTCTGCCTCGTCCCTGAGACGAATTGACGAAACGGGTCAAGCTGCCGGCCAGCCCACCTGCCTAATTCGATTGCCCTTGCATGTATGCATGCCTTTGGCTGTCTTGGCAGACGACTTGCTTTCAACAACTTGACAGGCAGCATTCCCGAGTCCATTAGCAAACTCGCAGGCCTCACTACCTTGTGAGTACCTGCCATTCCTTTTTGAGCTTTGCCTCAAATTGGAGCTCTTTATGGCTTGAGATCTGCAGGTGTTGGCATGAGCTGTGTGCTGTCCACCTGTGCCTGCTCATTCCCTCCTGCTGTTGCTGTTGATGATGTATCATGCATTGCCACAAGGGGTGCCTGCCAGCCTGCACCTCCATCTGCAGCATGCCCTTTCTCTCACCTCCCGTTCTCCTCTCACCTCCCGTTCTCCTCTCACCTCCCGTTCTCCTCTCACCTCCCGTTCTCCTCTCACCTCCCGTTCTCCTCTCACCTCCCGTTCTCCTCTCACCTCCCGTTCTCCTCTCACCTCCCGTTCTCCTCTCACCTCCCGTTCTCCTCTCACCTCCCATTCTCCTCTCACCTCCCGTTCTCCTCTCACATCCCGTTCCCCTCTCACCTCCCATTCTCCTCTCACCTCCCGTTCTCCTCTCACCTCCCATTCTCCTCTCACCTCCCGTTCTCCTCTCACCTCCCATTCTCCTCTCACCTCCCATTCTCCTCTCACCTCCCATTCTCCTCTCACCTCCCATTCTCCTCTCACCTCCCGTTCTCCTCTCACCTCCCGTTCTCCTCTCACCTCCCGTTCTCCTCTCACCTCCCGTTCTCCTCTCACATCCCGTTCTCCTCTCACCTCCCATTCTCCTCTCACCTCCCGTTCTCCTCTCACCTCCCATTCTCCTCTCACCTCCCGTTCTCCTCTCACCTCCCATTCTCCTCTCACCTCCCATTCTCCTCTCACCTCCCATTCTCCTCTCACCTCCCATTCTCCTCTCACCTCCCGTTCTCCTCTCACCTCCCGTTCTCCTCTCACCCCCCGTTCTCCTCTCACCTCCCGTTCTCTTCTCACCTCCCGTTCTCCTCTCACCTCCCGTTCTCCTCTCACCTCCCGTTCTCTTCTCACCTCCCGTTCTCCTCTCACCTCCCGTTCTCCTCTCACCTCCCGTTCTCCTCTCACCTCCCGTTCTCCTCTCACCTCCCGTTCTCCTCTCACCTCCCGTTCTCCTCTCACCTCCCGTTCTCCTCTCACCTCCCGTTCTCCTCTCACCTCCCATTCTCCTCTCACCTCCCATTCTCCTCTCACCTCCCATTCTCCTCTCACCTCCCGTTCTCCTCTCACCTCCCGTTCTCCTCTCACCTCCCATTCTCCTCTCACCTCCCGTTCTCCTCTCACCTCCCGTTCTCCTCTCACCTCCCGTTCTCCTCTCACCTCCCGTTCTCTTCTCACCTCCCGTTCTCCTCTCACCTCCCGTTCTCCTCTCACCTCCCGTTCTCCTCTCACCTCCCGTTCTCCTCTCACCTCCCGTTCTCCTCTCACCTCCCGTTCTCCTCTCACCTCCCGTTCTCCTCTCACCTCCCGTTCTCCTCTCACCTCCCGTTCTCCTCTCACCTCCCGTTCTCCTCTCACCTCCCGTTCTCCTCTCACCTCCCGTTCATCTCTCTCCATTTTCCTCCCACCAGGGACCTTGGTTACAACAGCATCACGGGTACGATTCCTCAATCCATCGGCGAGCTCACGAGCCTTATTGAATTGTAAGCTGCCATGAGCGTTGAACCGAAACTGATTCGGGTTGAACTAACTCGAACTGTCAGTAAGTCGGACCAAATTAACCAAGTTGGGGTTGAAGCGTTTATGGTGAGGGGAAGGTGAGAATGGGGGAATGTGATGAGGGGAAGGTGAGAATGGGGGAATGTGATGAGGGGAAGGTGAGAATGGGGGAAAGTGATGGGGGGAAGGTGAGAATGGGGGAAAGTGATGGAGGGAAGGTGAGAATGGGGAAAAGTGATGGGCGGAAGGTGCGAATGGGGGAAAGTGATGGGGGGAAGGTGGGAATGGGGGAAAGTGATGGGGGGAAGGTGGGAATGGATGGGGGAAAGTGATGGGGGGAAGGTGGGAATGAGGGAAAGTGATGGGGGGAAGGTGGGAATGGATGGGGGAAAGTGATGGGGGGAAGGTGGGAATGGGGGAAAGTGATGGGGGGAAGGTGGGAATGGGGGAAAGTGATGGGGGGAAGGTGGGAATGGGGGAAAGTGATGGGGGGAAGGTGGGAATGGGGGAAAGTGATGGGGGGAAGTTGGGAATGGGGGAAAGTGATGGGGGGAAGGTGGGAATGGGGGAAAGTGATGGGGGGAAGTTGGGAATGGGGGAAAGTGATGGGGGGAAGGTGAGGCAGCGGAGGTCGTTGGGGGGGTGTGGGATGTGCAGGGGGGCGAAGTGTTACTCAATTGTACTTGACAAGTTTTTACTCGAGTTTTCCACCCATGGATGACGTGCCCTGCACTTGAAGTCTAGGTGGTGGTTGTTATGAAAGTGCTTTCTCAAGAGAATGTACGAGAAGCTTAAGCTGGGCTTTTCAGGTATTGTTCATTGTCAGGTACTGTTCATTCGTTGTCTATCAGATCAGGAACCCTGTAGTAGCATCTCTATCTTCATTCACACACCTGTGCAGTGCAATACTTTCCATTTCGTGCGACATGCACCCGCACCCTCCATTTGCCTCCATCAGGAGATTGGGCACCAACGGTTTGACGGGTTCGATTCCTGACTCGATTTCAACCCTCACGAAGCTTTCGTTCTTGTACGTGGCTTTTGATTTCTGGGTTGACACAGGAGCGGCAATCTGCTGTGAAAAATCAGTCAGCGTGTGCTCTCCATGCCCACGATCAGTTCCTTCAGGCATGCATGTCTTGCCACGAGCAATTTGTTACACATGACGTTCAGACTGGAATGGATTGCCACGTGCAGCCTGCGAGTGGCATCAGCCTGCGAGTGGCATCAGCCTGCGAGTGGCATCAGCCTGCGAGTGGCATCAGCCTGCGGCTCGCCTCATCTGTTGTGAAGCCCACCTGCCTCTCTGGGTTTGGCTTGGCTCGCCTCGCATGCTCTGATTGAATGATTCCGGAGCACTCGCTCACCATTTTGAGCACTCGCTCACCATTTTGAGGACGACCATTCTGAGAACCAACTTCTCAGTGTCGCTTCTTTCAATGTGCTCTAATCACCCTCCTATTCCACAATCTGCAGAGCCATCCCCCAAAACAACCTGACTGGACCAATACCGCCATCACTGAGCAACCTTCTTGCATGTGAAAGCATGTGAGTTAGCTGCTTGGCGTGGCGACTTTGAGGCGCCTCAATACAATAGCTGCTTGTCGGCGAGGTTCGGCTTGCACATGTACCCTGTGCTGTGCTCACATCCTATTCTATCTTTTCAAGGACATTGTTTCCAAGTGGTTGCTTCTCTCATTGATCTTCCACCCGGGAGTTTTATGATTGTTTTTGCAAGTGCAGTTTTACGTTTCAATCCGACCCCACCCGGTTTTGCTCATAAAGGGTTGGGTCGGGTCAAGTCGCCCTGGGTCGGGTCGTCCCGGGTCGTGTCTAGGTTGGGTTGGGTCTGGTCGGGTTGAGGTTTTGCCCGACCAAAATTGGCCCTAAGGGGGTCGGCTCGGCATATACCGCGGTTCGGGTCGACCTGCGCCAAATCCCGACCCGAGAATCGTATCGGATTGGGTCGGGTCGAGCCCACCAGACAGACCAGCCCAGACCTGACTCGTTGCACATACCTGATCACCAAACACTTTACCGTAGCTGCATCGGCTTTCACTTGAAGCCATACCAAGCTCGATCCTTTCAGCTTGGAGGCTGCACGGAGCTGGCAGAATATAACTGCATGAATTATGTTCTGTGTGCGTGCATGACTTTGGCTGTGTGATTACACATCCTGTACGCACTGATTTTGTTCTGTTTTGCAAGCTTTTTCCCTGTAAGAATGGAAATAGACATTGGTAGAAAGCCGAGTCGAACCGAACAGGTTCTTTCTTTTCGGCCTGAAAGTGTTTGACTCGAGATATTGCTAACGAAATGGTTTATATTTTGCAGAAATTTGACATCCTTCTTATTGTGATATTGAGACGTGTAATACTGCATCCGCCCCATACCCTCCGTCAAATCATTGCCTCATCAGGTTTCTTCATTACAACAGCTTGACGGGCCCAATCCCCGACTCCCTTACCAAACTTTCAGCCCTTCGTGAATTGTGAGTGCCATTCCTCCTTCAGTTGGCATGTGAGCCACACTGAAGCATTCACATATTGCAACTTTGCACTCCTTGTGCTATGCATTTCAAGTGGACGTAGGTGCTTTTCTGAATATTCTGTTCGAAAAACATTCCGCCAAGATGTGGATGTGTCTAGAGCCGTTGTTAGGTAGGAGGGCTGATATCGCTCACTCGTTTACCAGTGCCCCAAGCCATGATGTGCGCGGAACACCTCCTATTGCACCTTGCCACATTGCATGGATGTATGTCGCAGTAGGCAGGATTGAGCAAAGGGCTCAGCAGTGGCCCCACCTTCGGGGCCAGCTAGTCGTTGCGCCAAGTCGTGCTGGCTGCCGTACAGTCGAGCTGGCGTCCAGTCGAGCTGGCGTCCAGTCGAGCTGGCGTCCAGTCGAGCTGGCGTGTACACAATGGGCAAGTCGACATAAGCTTCGCTTGGAGGCCAGCAACATGCGCTTTTATCTTTCATCCCCGCTCATTCACTTGCTTTCCCCATAAATTGAGCTGCAGATATGTACATAACAACCAATTGACTGGCACAATTCAAGAAACAATCAGCAACCTTCAGAATCTAATTGCCTTGTGAGCCTCTCAATTCAAGGTTTGAATGATTGTACCCTGTTTTTTTAGGCTACCTATGTTTCCACCCTGGTCCATCCATCAGATTATATAGTGAGGGAGTGACTGTCTTCTTGTTCAATCATTAACGCATGGACGACGTTTGCTGTTTCCCTGCCTGTTTGTCAATACATTCTTGCTCTTGCCATCCTTCGCCAGGGGTCTTCAAGGCAATCGCTTGACTGGAACCATTCCATCCACAGTTGGAGGTTTGAGCGCATTGACGACGTTGTGAGTACGACTAGCACAATCACCCCAAGTTACTGGCTCTTCACTCGTTTTCCAAAGCTTTGGAGAGTTCGGTTGGGTGATACATGGTACTTGTTGGCACAGCTGCACTGCTCACTGCTGAGTTGTTGAGGCTGACTTTGTTGGCTCCACAAGGATTCGACTAAGTGATTGCCGTAGTAGTAGTAGTAAGGCCCATGCTTGCTTGAGCGGGGGAGGGGGGGGGGCTGTTAAAGGTTCCTCACTTGCATCGCTTGGATACATAAGCACACCTTGTTGTGCAATTCTGCTTTTGGTACACAACAATCAGATGAACTCGCTAGCGCTTGTGTGAGGGAAGCTTTTTGTTCTATGTGTAAGTATAGACTCATTGTTTTCACCGGCAGCTGCTTAACAAATGCTCGTTGTAAGTATTCTTTCACGCAGAATGTGAACACCACGCGAGTGGCAAACAACAAGATCGCAAACCATAGATTCAACAAATTTATTCATGCAATCTTTTCCTTTTCTGGATGCCCACCCTCGCTTGCATGCCCTTCTCCCGTCAGAGCCCTTGGCAACAACAGTCTGAGTGGAACGATTCCAGACTCCGTCTCCAAGCTGTCAAAATTGATTCAACTGTGAGGAGTACTATTTATTGCTGGGTTGACGTTTAAGGTGTATCCAGGGCTAGACATGACAATAGGCTCGGATCGGGTCGGGTCAGGTCGGGCTGGGTTGGGTCAGGTTGGGTTGACTTCGGCCAGGGATTTTGGCCGGATTGGGAGGCTCCTCTGGTGTGCGCTCAACCCGACTAGGTCGACCCAACCCAACCCGACCCAGCCTGACCCAACCAAACCGATCATGTCTTGTCATCTCATGTGGTCAGTCCTATACAGATCCCACATGCCTGTTACTGGCACCAATGAACTTCATCTCGCACAGGAAGCCGCCATGCCTTACACTCCGCAACTTGTTGATGCATGCAGCATGTCGATGCTTGCTTACACTCCGCAACTTTTTGGGCTAGACACACAAGCTGCTGGATTGGCCGGCCACCTGCTCAAAAGTGATTCAGAACTCTTGCCACAAATTTGCGTGCTGTGTGCCCTCTATTGTTTAAAAAACGGTTCCTGTTTATTACCGATTCTTCAGTCCGGGCTATTTTTACCGTGCATCTTCTGCAATTCAACATAAGGGAAAGAAGAAACAGCAACAGGCGTGCGTGCACGCTGCACATCATGTAGAGTCCGTACTAGAGAGTCGGTATCCTGTAGTATCAGAAACTCGGTATAACCCTGTGACAGATAGAACACTTTATGTACATTTCATATGCTAAACATTCTGAATATAAGAAAGAATCGATCGAACACAACTACTCAATGTTTCTTTATAGAACAACTGACCAAATGAGTTCATTCATATTGTTAGAAACAAGCGTAAACAGGGTTTGCTTATACATATGGACAGTATCAAAACGCCTCAACACAAATTACAATCAACATCTTCTTTAGATCAGGTTCACTTGCATCACATAAGGGGTCGTCAGCATCCTAACGTGCAGATCTAACAGAAAAACTGAGATTGCCAACACTCACACGCAACAAAATCAGTCCTGAGCAAGTTGCCAAGGCCTGGCCACGAGATTGAGCCTTTCGCCTGGATTGGTTTGTTTCGGCACAAAAAAGCGACCTGCGATTTGATGGCATGCGATCTGAAGTGATGCTTGTTGCAAAATGGCAGACACTTCGGTGAAAGAGGACGAGTTGGGGCCCCTGCTTTGTTATTTCTCAGTGCATTACTTTTCCCTGGCGTGCATCAGACAGCCAATAGAATAGACTGGTGTACAGTTCACTGATGCGCCCTTGAAAACTCAAAACAACGTTGTCCTCATTGCTTGTCTTCTACTCTATGCAGGGAAGTTTGGAGTAACAACCTGACTGGCCCAATACCAACGACATTAAGCAACCTCCAGGTTTTAACCATATTGTGCGTCTT